AAAGATGCGTCACTTTTCTCAAGCAGCAATGTGAGTAGTCTAGTTAATTATACACTTCACATTTCCACCCCACTATTGAGAAAATTGCTGGACTAGAGGGCAACTCTCATTTAAGGTAACTGTGCTAACACTCAGACATTGGGGATTGTATCGTATGATGTATGTTCACACACATCATACAATGCAATTCATTTCCCCAAATTGTTAGAACAATTACCTTACCTTGTCCTGTTGTTTAGCAATAGCCTTGAACTGTAAGCTTTGTCTGTTAAAACGACATAGTTAGACATGAAAAAATACAGCTATGCTGTTTTGACAAAGCAATTCATAAAGTAAAGGAATTGATGTAAATATACAAAAAATATCCTGGAAGTTATCTGGTAATGTTGCATTATTTGTGGCTGAGGAAAAGAAACAACCTCCTCCTTTAGAATATTTTAAAGATTAACCTCAACACATACTGAATTACAAGGAAAACGCAGATTCATAAATGTAGCCGATAATGGATGTTTTTCTCCTAAGTGAATAAGTAATACATTTCAAGAACACATTAGCTGTCATCCTATACCCACTTATAAACCTCCTTGAATTTAGTGAGAGTTTTTTTATCCGACTAAACATGGATAGAATATTATTTATTTAGGTAAATTTAAACGTTTTCCCCTTTACAGTCGTGTCCAACTCTGTGCGTTGGTGCTCATCTCCATTTCTAAGCCGAAGAGCCGGCATTGTCCGTAAACACCTCCAAGGTCATGTGGCCGGAATATTGCGTGGTGCACATATTTATTTAGGTGATTTATATCCCATGTTTCTTCCAACCCTGGGATTTTAAAAGATGCAAAAAAAAAAACCAGTAAATTCTACCATAAAATAGGGTAAACAAAATATAATATTGAAATGCCATTTAAACATGCGTCAGTTTTAAATGCAAGTACTGTACTCCCAGTCCCTTGGTAATTTGTTCTGATTTTCAGGAAGCATCTGTGCTGACTGAAGATGCCTCTTTAAACACACACCCCGCCAGATTGCGCGCAGTGGATGTCCTGCAGTGCATAAGCCATTTCTTAATCTCCATCTTGCATCTCAGTAGTAATTACTGTCTACATTTGTAGGCATGGCGTTCTTCACGAAATGATTTTGGCACAGGCGACAGCAAAAGAATGGAAGGGATTATTTGGAAGGCATGCAGAGGCATCGTTGATCTGTTTTTCGGCAGCAAAAACATGCCACTGTTTTCGGAACTGCACAGAGTGTGCCAGCTTGGTTAGACAGCAGGCTCCCAAAGGTGATCATTTCAGTAGCATCTCTGTTTTAAAGAAACAGGTTTTCTGTCTCTGCATCACTGTGCATTTGGCTACTGTTGGTGAAACGTTGCTCTGATGCACCAGTCGTATATCTCTGTTGAGTAAATGACAGGATGGAGACATGGCTTTTACAGCCCCCTTCATTAAGCTTTGTAACACAAAATCCCTTCACTCAATTCAAGTTATTCCTGTTTTGAAATCTTCTTTTCAATGGTTTCAAAGAAATATGTCAGGTAGCTTCACATAAAGCTAGGCTGTTAGAGGGAGACCAAAAAAAGACTATTTACTCTTTGTAATCCAAAAAGTATGCTTTCAAAACTCTCTCTTTTATTTTCTCATGCAATCATACACTTGTAATACTAATTTCCACAGAGAAGTACCAGATGGCAATACTTGATGCTGCCACTGGAGTATCTTTGTAGTCACCTTATGAAGGATAGGGGAGCCCCTGGTGACACAGTGGGCCGGGGCCCTTTCATACTATGCAATCATGTGATTCCACTTTAACTGCCATGGTTGCATCCTATAGATTCTGGATGCAACTGAGAGCAATGGTGGCACTGGCCCCATTAAATAGACATAGCTTGCGTAAGATACGTCATGGTGTTCTTCTATTTTGATTGGCCCAACAGGCTGGGCTCATAGGGGAAACCTGTGTGAGCATGTGGCAGCTTCCTTGCGTGCTGCATGATGCCAAATTAGAGAGGAGGAGCCGTGACCAGCTGCTGCGTGGCCCATTTTGGCTGAAAAATGTCCAGCCGAACAAGCCGGACTGGCTGAAGGGAACCAACCAAACTGAATCTGTGCACCAACCTAGTAACCATATCAGTTAAATTGGAATCACAACAATGTATGTGTTCAGTGTTTCAGTGTTGTAACACTACAGTACAGCATTGTAGTGCTATGATGATCGGCAACCATCATGGCCATTGGACATGCTAGATGAAGATGATAATTGCTGTAAGCAACCGTGTTGGGAAAGCTGAGCTAGTGATTTGGTGTAGAAAGTTTTTGTATCTCCCATTACCAAGAAGAATGTAATCATATTATAACAGATTTTCCCAGTCAAATCCTCTATTTCTGGTTGGCTCATACTGCACCAATGTGTTTCTGACATGTGGCGACCTTATTGTGGTGTTTTCTTGACAAAATTTGTTCGAGGGAGGTATGTTGCCTTTGCCTTACTTTGAGAGAATATGACTTGCTCACCATGTGGGTTTTCATGGCTGAACAAGGATTCAAACATTGGTTCCAGGAGTAATAGTCCAATGCTCAAACCACCACACCATGTTGGCTCCCATGCTTCATTTCCGCTGCCATTTTGCTTGTATCCTATGGGATCTTGGGGTTTGTCATTCATTGAGACAGTGGCTGAAAATTCTATACGGCCCTCCGTAAACAGGAAATCCTAGGTTTCTATAGGGTTGAGCTGTGACAGCTGAAGTGGGATCGAAATGCTGTCGTTGATTTTTGTGAAGTCTTGTGTATCTCTCTGGCAGCCAAAGCAATTCTGGTCATGTGGTTCCTTTCAGTGCTACAGGAGAGTACCCTTCTCTTCACTGAAGCACTTTAAGGTCTAGCAAGGAAAGGAAAGGTGATTGCAGAATTAATTGAGATTTAGGCAGGACAGGATTAATGGTTTCCTTGTTGTGTGTGATTAATTCCTTGAAGGATCCAAGGAACCAAAAGCAGCAGCAGAAACAAGGGCAGAATGCAAGTACAGGCAGTGAATAAGACCTTTATGGTTGCCTCTAGCATGTTTCTCTCTGCAGTGAAGATGCAGTCTGTTTATATATAGTCTATAGCTCAGATTTCTTCAATGCATATTTAAGTTTCTCTCTCTCTCGCAGGATCTACACTGCCGTATAATCCAGTTCAATGCAGTTAATCTGCATTAAGAAACTGGATTATATGACAGTATAGATGGGACCTTTCTCTTATAGAATCATAGAGTTGTGCCATCCAGTCCAATCCCCTGCCAAGAAGCAGGAAAATCGCATTCAAAGCACCTGACAGATGACCATCCAGCCTCTGTTTAAAAGCCTCCAAAGAAGGAGCCTCCACCACAGTCCAGGGCAGAGAGTTCCACTGCTGAACAACAGCTCTCACAGTCAGGAAGTTCTTCCTAATGTCCAGATGGAATCTCCTTTCTTGTAGTTTGAAGCCATTGTTCCGCGTCCTAGTCTCCAGGGAAGCAGAAAACAAGTTTTCTCCCTCCTCCCTATGTCTTCATCTCACGTATTTATACATAGCTATCGTGTCTCCTCTCAGCCTTCTCTTCTTCAAGCTAAACATGCCCAGCTCGTTAAGCCGCTCCTCATAGGGCTTGTTCTCCAGACCCTTGATCATTTTATTTGCCCTCCTAAAATAACCAAGGGTCTGGAGAACCAGACCTATGAGAAGCAGTGTAAAGAGCTGGGCACTTTATTCCAGATTATAGAAGGTGTAATTACATTCATATATGGTTAAAGTGTGTTGTGTATCTATTGAAATTGTGGTAAGACAAGCAAATTCCGAACCTCCAAATTGTTCTAAAAACTTTCAGTTGCAATGAAATAGTTTATATTGATCCATTTCAGATTTTACCCATTCTCTCCTAAATATTATTTAAGTCTTACAAGAATTCCTAAACCGGCTCCTAAGGGTTTAAGACTGGTAGTTCAGTTGATCAGGTCTGAGACTCAAGGTCCTTCAGTATCTGCACAATCCCCCAATATCTGCTTTGAATTGGGTTATCTGAGTGCATATTGCCATATATTCCAGTTCAAAGCAGTTATTATGGGATTTCCTGCTTTGATATTCTGGGTGATATGGCTCTGTGGAAGGGCCGCCAGTGAAAGGGAGAAAGCTGGATTACATCTCACAGATTCAAATAAAACTGGCTGGTTTTAAAAAGAATGAGAATTGTGTGGCCTTGTGTGTATTTTGGATTGCATTCTTCATGAGATCATGGCCTTTATATTTGGCTAAAAATGTTCCTTAGAGGCAACCAGTTGTCAACTATTAAGGGCTACAGGGAAATTTGGCAGAGTTCAACACTGACTCCAAGAAAAATGTGCAGAAATCTAGGATTTGGGGCCATGGAAAAGGATGTCTCTGTCATATGACATTGTTAATCAACATGGCAACATCAGGAGGAATGTGTAGATAACGAAATCTTTGTTTCTCAGTCTGCCATCATAAGTTTGTGATTAGAAATTAAAATTCAGGACTTTCGATATGTTAGCATGGAAAAACATTGCTCTTTGAAAATAATTGGACTACTTATAATGAGAGTAACTTAGTTTATTGTTGAAGACTTTCATGGCTAGAATCACTGGATTGTTGTAGGTTTTTCGGGCTTTATAGCCATGTTCTAGAACAGTGGTTCCCAACCTGGGGTCCTCAGATGTTTTTGGCCTACAACTCCCAAAAATCCCAGCCAGTTGACCAACTATTAGGATTTCTGGGAGTTGAATGCAAACATCAGGGGACCCCAGGTTGAGAACCACTGTTTTCTAAGCATTTTCTCCTGACGTTTCGCCTGCATCTATGGCAGGCATCCTCGGAGCCTCACAACCTTTGAGGATGCTTGACATAGATGTAGGCGAAATGTCATGAGAAAATGCTTCTGGAACTCAGTTGTTGTTAAAACTTGGTTTATATCCTGGCTTTAGAGACTGCCTATGTGCTAAGGTTCATTTTTATTTTTCACAGATAAAGAAGAGACAGCAAGACATTGTACGGTTTCTGGAAGCCAACAAGATCGACTTTGTAGAGGTGGATATCACTATGTCAGAGGAACAAAGGCGATGGATGTATAAAAACATCCCTAAGGACAAGCAGCCTGAACAAGGCAATCCGCTACCTCCCCAGATTTTCAGTGATGATGAGTACTGCGGAGTAAGTAACTTTGTCTATGTCTGATTTTGGATATGTCTAACCCCACTCATTACTCATCTTTGTAAGCTATAAAGGCATCTGTTGTATTTAACAGCAGACCAGTAGCAAAGAAAATCAATGCTCATGGTGTTTTCCTAAAAATGGTTCTGCATTTACATTGCTAAATGAACATGCAAATATAAAACACAATATTTTGTATTGGCAAGGAGTTTGAATATGAAGTTTTGTTTGTTTTTTGCTGTTTTCTGGAACAGGTAATTCTGTGGTGGGATCCTAAATTTTGATAACCTCGGTCCTGAGAAAGTTGCATTTTGTTTTGTAAAGTTTCAGGGATTAAATTTTTGACCAATTCCTTTAAAAAAAATCATAGATGGGTTTTTGTTCCCAAAGGTTCAAAGACCACAAGGAATTGCTATAACGCCAAGTGGATTTTTCAAAATGACAAGTAAGCTGTCAAGTTCTCTGGAACGTTTCAGCATGATGAACATTAAAGGGAAACGGAACTTGACTTGATCTTGAAGCATTTTTTAAATAAGAGTTGGGAATCTTTGACACTCAAGATGATTTAACCCACAATTTCCATAGATTCACCCATGGGAACTGTACTCCAGAATATCTTGGAGGCAGCACCTTTAATTGGAGTAGGTGCTACTAGATGCTACAGTGGTTTCAGGTCATACTTAGGTATATGGAGTAGAGGAAAAATAGAATTGATAGTTCCTCATTTTTCTTCAGACCGATGCGAATCACACTCTCCTTCTAATATAGCAAATAGTTGTTAAGATAAATATGACCAAAAGGGGAGTTCAATCTTAGGAGATGGACTAAGTCAAATACATTAAGGGAACTCAAGTTAGGAGTTATTAACCTAGTGGGTGAAGGTGATATATCTTTAAACAATACAGTTTGTGTTACTTTACCACTCTGAATGCACATAGTTTGATTGCAGAAACTCAGTAGGCTTGAGCTTGGTTAGTATTTAAAGACCATTAGGAGAGATGAAGCATTACTCAGTATAGCCAGGGAAAAATCCTGCCTGAAACCCTTATTGCTGCCAGTCAGAGAATATGGGTTGTTGTAGGTTTTTCGGGCTGTATGGCCATGTTCTAGAAGCATTCGCTTCTGACGTTTCACCTGCATCAATGGCAGGCATCCTCAGAGGTTGTGAAGTCTCTTGGAAACTAGGAAAATTGGGTTTATATATCTGTGGAATTCTTGTCTGTTGGAGGTAGGTATGAATGCTTCAATTGGCCACCTTGATTAGCATTTGATGGCCTGACAGTTTTTTTTAGGTATGACTTGTTACTGCCGGGGGAATCCTTTGTAGAGAGGTGATTAGCTGTTCCTGATTGTTTCTTGTTTGGAGTTCCCCTGTGTTTGAGTTCTGTTCTTTATTTACTGTTGTAATTTTAGAGTTTTTGAAATACTGGTAGCCAGATGTTGTTTATTTTCAGTGATCCTGGCCATGAAAGCCTGCGACAATACATAGTCAGAGAATGATCAAATAGCATGACTGTGTATAAGGCACCTTCCTCCCTTTGGAAATCCCATCTTCAGCAGGGTAAATATTTTCCTTTTCCAGTTTCAGGATCCTGTGGCTGAACAAGCCATCTTAGGCAAGGTTTGTCTGCCCATGGGATATGCCCAAGTATACATTAAGCTATTAAGACATTATTTTTCCCTATTGGCTGCAAGGATCTGTGAGCTGTCAGATAATCTGGGATAAACAGAAAACCTGTCTGAAAGGGCAGGGCCTATCTGGAATTCCTTAAGGAATTTCTAAGTCTTCCAACTCATCTTTACAGTCAAATTCTCCTGGAAGTTGACCATAGAATCTCACTGGAGGATGTTAAATACCTGGATAACTGTTCTCTCTAGGAATCTCTAGCTCCTCCAGCACAACTGTATGGTAGAAGTTGACCATAAAGTCATCCTGGAGGACCTAGAGATTTCTAGAAAGAACTTATTAATCAAATCATTGAATAATCAAATCTGCAACATCCGATGCTAGCAGTTGCCTAAGTGACAGTCCTGTTAACAGAGTTGTATTCCTTGTAACTAATTTAATCCTTTACAGTGTCTTGGCCAAACTTAACTTTGCAGTTAACCATTATGAGTAGATGAGCGTTGAAAGTGGAAAGCTGAAAATGGGAGCTTTACTCAAAGGTGAACTAAATTTAATCTACAAAATATCCTTGGCTTTGCTGCAAAGTACGCAATTCATTGGAAAGCAGCCAAGGTCTCACCTTTCGAGTTAAAGAGCTGTTTTATGTGCAGCGAAATCCATGCTTGATGAGCTGCCTGATAGCTATCTTTGTAATTAGAAGAGATTTCTTTGCTTTAGATTCCCCTTTCCATATGTTTCAAATATCACAGAGAAGGTTAAAGCAAACTTCTTTGCAGGATTTCTTCCAGCTGAACAGGAAATCTGAAGGTGGATCTTTGGCTGATTGTATGAGTAACAGAGCAACAACATCCTGCTGTGTGCGTGATTTTTTATTTACTTCAGTCTCTCTCCCCCCCCCTCCCTTTGTGGGTATATATGGGTGTGTGGGACAGAAAATATGCACAGGGTTTTAAAAACATTTACAGGCATTGGATATGAAACACACTGATGACAAATTTTACTTTTAGAAAACATAACTGTTCTCAGTCCTAATGAAAATAGTTTCAGTTTCTGCAAAATGGATGAATCATATTTAAGTGGCTTAAAAAGGCCTGCCTGTTCTTCAGGAATTCTGTCTTAATTTCAGTTAATATCACAATATACAAAACTATACTTACTGTATCTGGGATGCTTTCTTGTGACAGTTTAAAGACATCAGGTATGTTTTCCTTGTCTGCAAATGTTATGTGAAATAAACATTCACACACACCAGTTTGATTTGCAAGCTCAGTTGGGTTTCTGTAATGGAGCCCTATTATGACATTGCCATAGTTATCTAGTTAATGCTATTCACAAAGACTGCCATGTCTGAATTCTCATCCACGAATGTCCCCTGTTGTGTCTCTATAGAATGAATAAATGACACTTTTGTAGTGTTTTGAACTATTCAAATATTTCATTGTTGTTATGTGCCTTCAAGTCATTACCAAGGTACGGTTACCCTAAGGCAGTGGTTCCCAACCCTTTTTTTGACCAGGGGCCAGGGACCTCTCTCCAACATTAATACCAAAAGGGTTACAAATTGGTTTTTGGTCAACTTTAGATTTGGTTTGGTTATTTGGGGTGCTGATTCAGAAAACTGCATTGGATAGATCACATCAGTTCTAGTTTCTGATACAGAACATATGCCATCCAGTATTTGCCATCTGATCACCCACAGAAGTCTCAAGTCTCTCCTGACACAACAGCCCCCCCCCCCCCAAGACAACCATATTTGATAACCTAGAGCTGATGTGGTAGTAGTAATCTTTCATGGGTAATTATCCTCTCCCTTCCCAACATCTTTGTTGCCTTGGCACTATAAGAAAGTTTTGCAAGACCAGTTGCTCTCGTTGCCACGTGGTTTCGAGGCAACAGTGTAGTAATGGTGAGGCCATGGACCATATTTTTACATTCTTGCAGAGCACAGGTTGGGAACCACTGCCCTAAGGCAACCCTTACCACAGGGATGGGTTTTTTGGTAAAATTTGTTGAGGAGGATATACCTTTGCCTTCCCTTAAAGCTGAGAAAATGTGACTTCTCTAGTAGATTTCCATGACTGAGAAAGGAATTGAAATCCCAATCTCCTTAATCACAGTCCAGTGCTCAAACCACGACTACACCGTAACTCTCTGTGCTTCATTATCTTGGGACTGGGGAACACTTTTAAGATGTTGTTGGGCCCCATTTGCCATTAGTCCCAGCCTGTGGTAAAGGCTCAAGGCTCCCCACCCTTGCTATAAGGTGAACATGAACGATTAATCCCCCTCATCCAAGAAGGCCTAAATTGTAGAGGATGAAAGCGAACAACCTGCCCGAGTCTACTTAGTGAGTTCCTGCTGATCTCAGCTCTTTTGATGCTATTCTGAGTTTGGCCTCTTCCTCACTGCCATATAATCCAGATTATCACAGCAGATAATCCACATTATCTACTTTGAACTGGATTATATGGGTCTACACTGCCATATAATCCAGTGCAAAATGGATAATCTGGATTTTATATGGCTGTGTAGAAGGGGCCTCCAGTGGAGTTCTTTTCCAATTGGATAGGAAGAGGGTGGATTACTAGTCAGCAGAGCCAGGAAGGTTCTGATCATAAGGAATATCTGTTCTGTTTAGAATCATCTGTTTTGTAGTATTTTAATTGTCATTGTGCAGCAGCAGGTTAAACTGCTGAGCTGCTGAGCTTGCTGACCAAAAGGTTGGTGGTTTGAATCTGAGGAGAGAGGTGAGCTCCTGCTGTTATCCCCAGCTTCTGCCAACCGAGCAGTTAGAAAACATGCAATTGGGAGTAGATCAATAGGTACTGCTCCAGCGGTAAGGTAACGGTGCTCCATGCAATCATGCCAGCCACATGACCTAGGAGGCATCTACAGACAATGCCGGCTCTTTGGTTTAAAAATGGAGATGAGCACCATCCCCCAGAGTTGGACAGAACTAGACTTAATGCCAAGGGGAAAACCTTTACCTTTAACTGTCATGGTTCCATTTTAAGGGATCTTGGAATATGTAGTTTGGTGAGTTACTTGTTCCAAAATACCCTGAGTAGTGAAGGACTGAGAATTTAATCAGGCAATTCTGTTGTGTACTTTGGGAGCTATAGTTCAGAAGTGTGTGGTAGACCTCTCTAGCAGAAAATTGAATATATTTATAAGTTTGGAGAGAGAAACCCATGTCTGCTCCCTTGAGCTCTTAGGAAGAGGTGTAGGATTTAAGTGACAATAATTGGAGCATTCCTTAAAAGAATCAACAACGTGATCAGTTAAAATTTATTCCAGGGCTTAGGTTAGTGTGGCCACATACAATCCCAACATCTTCCTCCTTCCAGCTTCTCAGGACCCTTTCACACAGCCC